GGCATGTACAACCCAGGTGCTAACACGGGCGCCTAAAGCATCTCCAACAGCTGCCCTAAAATAGGGCACCCAGCCACATCTTTCTTCTCCACAACTGCATACATATTGAAACAAAACATGAACTATGGATAGAATTTATGCTTTGCAAGGTCACCACATATCAAATTAAACTTCAAATCCACGTATCAAATTCAAATTGTCCTAAAAATTTGGCCTTCTTCAACAGTCAAATATTTTTTACACACAAAAGGGATCTACACTGACAAAGCAACTAGATTTTTTACATCTGAATATTTTACACGACGATTCGAGCTAAAGCTGACTACCCCAAAGAAGATCAAATTGAGTAAAAACAGGATTCTAAATAATCCAGCAGTGTAGTATAGAACAAGTAAATGCCAAAAATATAAACTGCAACTCTTGAAGAATATAACGTGGCTCTCAAATTAACTCATCAACGTTTCAAATCTTACCATGAACAAACTAAAACAGCAGCAAAATGCATACTCATATGATAGTCTCAGGCAATATCATTCTAAATTTGCAAAGACAAGAAGTCATCATCCTCACGACTCAAGGATGCACTCAAGGATGCACTGGAGATGACTAGATTTTGATATAGCGCAGAAATCCAACATTGTGCAAGTAATAGAGACCAACAACAACTGGTAGTAAATATCCTTCTTTTTTTTCCTAAAGAATGGATGGCCATTGTCATACTCTTTGCTGACATGGTTCTGGTGTTCACTTGACCATGTTTTCTTAATTCGCCTGATTCAGCCAACAACCAATAAGAAGACGTCTTTTTCAGGACATGAATCCTACATCTAGTAGTAATCAACGCTCCAGCGCGGCTACCACTACTAGCACGAGTCAGAAGCACTACAACACTAGCGTGCCACGGAGAAATTTCTATGGCAATCACCAGACCAATCTGAGAGGGGGGGCGGAAGGAACAGAGAGGTGAGTCTCACCTTTCCAGGATGAGGAGGAGGCTGGGCTCACGGCCAACGGCTTGGGCGAGGGCAGCGGGATGAGTTGCTGCTCCTGCTCGGGCTCAGGCCAGCTGCGCCGCCGCCGCGGAGCTCGCCGGTGTCCGCGCGCCGGGAGATCGAATGGGGGGCGGCGGGGGCACCGGAGCAGGGACGTGCGGTAGCTGCTCGGGCTAGCCTCCGTCCGTGGCCGCGGCGGCGGAGGAGGCACGTCAGTGGCGGATCGAGTGGCGGCGGCGGGACGACCTCCTCTCTGTTCTGTGCGGGTCGGGGAACGGGATCGGGTTTCTGTTTTCGGCTATTCGGGAGGAAATCCAGCGGCGGGATGAAAGGGGTTCGCCATGGAATTTGGCGGACGATTTGCCCGGGGAATCCTATACGGTGCGCAGGTTGGCGCACAGCCCCCTAGAGCGCTGGGCGTTCGGTTGGGCCGGCTCGTTTCCGGGTTTTTTCCTTCGTTTTTCCTTTCTTTTTCTTTTTTCATTCATTTTTTTCTTTTTCTTTTCTGTTTTACCTTTTCTTATCTCTTTTTTTATTCTTTGCTTTTTCACTTTCTTGCGAATTTTCTTTTCAAACTCGCCAAGATTTTCTTGTTCATCGAATTCCAAAAATGTTCATTGAGCTCAATTTTTTGTTCATCGGATTTGAAAAATGTTCAAAATTCAAAATTTGTTCATCGAATTAAAAAAATGTTTATCAATTTAAAAAAAAACATAAAATTCAAGATTTGTTCATCTTTTTCAAAAATATTCTTGAATACAAATTTTGTTCATCAAGTTCAAAAAATGTTCATCATTACTAAAAAATGCTAATAAAAATGTTCAATAAAATTCAAAAAATGTTCGTTCTTTTGAAATCACAAACATTTTTTAATTCAATAAATCTTTTTGGCAATTCATAATTTTTTTGAAATTTTTAGAACCTTTTTGTAATCTCGAATCATTTTAACATAGAATAAAATGAAAAGGAATAGTAAAAGCGGGAAAAAACAAGGGACGTCCAGCACCGCAAATGGGCATTCCCAAACTGGCGCACCAGAGGAAGGGAGGATGCGTGTTTGCATGACCCCTGGCACGCACCGTGCCATGTAGGAGGGCCCAATTTTCCCGCCCGCGGTTCGCCATGGAATTGACGAGAAACGGTGAGTTGGGACGGCCTCTTTACACCAACACTCGCTCAATTGGTCGGACAAACAGGTTCGCTCGCTCTCTTGCTCGGTCATTCACCTGTTCACCCCTCATCATCAAGTTTTCGAAATTATGAAAAAACTGTGAATTTATAAAAAATCAAATTTTGAAAAAAATGTCTTGAAATACAAAAATATTTCTTCAATTTGGAAAAAGTTCATGAAAACAAAAAAAATCAAGAATATGAAAAACATCATGAATTTGAAAAAAATCATCAAAATCAAAAAAATCACAAATTTGAAAGGAAATAATCTTGAATTTGAAAAGTTCATGAGTTTGAAAAAATCGTAAATTATAATAAAGTTCACAAATTTGAAAAACAAATTTGACTAAATTTCATGAATTTGAAAAGGTTCCCGAATCAAAAAGGAGTTCACAAAAGCGAAAATAAAACAAAAGTGAACAAATGAACAAATAAAAAAAGAAAGAACAGAAAAAAATGAAAACTCTATCCCAAAAAAAACATAACAAAACCAACGAAAGATGAAAAGGATTCGCGCGTGCAAAAGAGAAGGCGAGTATGGGTTGGCCCACTTAACTCACCTACAATGAAAGGGGGGGGTGCACAGTGGTAGCTACGCGGCTGCTGCAAATTTATAGCACGAGAACGAGGCCACAGAAAAATACACATAACTTTTGGAATAGCGTTCTGCCTCCAATTTAAGGCAACTATTTGTAGCGTCGTTTTGCTTCCAAACGCCCAACAAAACATTTTTTAGGCAACTACCCTTATAGGGATGCTGTTAGAGATGCTCCAAAAATGGTTTTGCATAGGTGCATAGAGATGGTGAAGGAAGCAAAGTCTTGCTTCCAATGCTAGTAGATCCTTGCTTGCGGAAAAAATGCTCTACTGTGATGTGACGGTGTCCCGGCTAGGGGGTCTCTCACCGTGTCGACTCTTGGTCTGGTGGAACGGGCTGATGACCCCTAGGTCGGTTCCATTTTGGGCTACTTTGGGGGGGG